TCAAGCCATATTATTATAAACTTTGAAAAAACCTAAGAATATAAACACCAATAGCTTATCCTAAAATAGAATTATATTAACATTAAAAATTGATACGAGTAATTTACATATTTACATAACAAATACTTTGATGTTATAATGAAAATGAAAGTATTATACCAAAAAACCTAAATTCTTCGTAATTGATTTTAGATACGATTTCTTTGGAAGTATTTGGAATCTTCTAAATGTTTGTTGGGCACTCAACACATATTTTTTATGTAAAATTGAACCGAAAGGAACAATGACCTTCCGTTTGGTTTTTGTTTTTGTGTAAAAATCAAACAAAAAAACCAAAGCTAACAGTACATATTGTTATTGTTTCATCGAGTTAGTGTTTTTACTATTTTTTAATGCTTATAAATTTCTACTTTTATAAACCAAAAAAACCGAAAAAAACCGAAATAAAAACCGTATAAAACCGAACCGAATAACCAACGGTTTACATATTTTTTATGCAAAACCGAACCGAACCGAACCGCCAATTTACCTTCCGTTTTGTCTTTGGTTTTGGGTGAAAACCGAACCTCCAAAACCGAACCCACCCCTAAAAAGGCGTAAGCCGAGATCCCTTCCCACATAGAAGTATTAACTTCTTTTTTTCAAAAAAAAAAAAACTTCTTATTTTACATATCAATTATTATTCCCAAGAGAAGAGCAATTAAATTATTTGTTTTGAAAACTAAGTATAGTCTTATAATTATATCTTGGGTTATTACATAACCAATCATGATCATGTAAATTACATAAAATGCACATGTACAGACATTATTATTGTACGAATTCTTATTTAGAGAATAAAAATATAGAATTCCTATTTTGGTACGTTTTCTATGTTTTAGCTTTATTCAGAGTGATTTCTATATATCTTATATGACCAAATAATAATCATATTATGATCCATACAGAGAGTAAATAAACCACCTTAAATATGATTAAAACATAGAGAAAAGTATCAAAATAAGAGTTCTATGTTTTTCTTCTCTAAATAAGAGTTCGCACTATAGTAATGTGGCATTGTCCATGTGTATTTTACGTAATGTACATGGACATGATTAGTAATGTAAATGCATATTAACTTTTATTTTGAAAATAAAAACATAAAACTCTTATTTTGGTATATTTTCAATGTTTTATTCCTATTTTAGTCTTTTTCCCTAGGGAGTATTTGTTTTCACAAATAACTATACTGCTTTTCTTATTTCCTATTTTGCAGATTTTGGATCATGAAGACAATGTCATGATGCGTCCCTTAAAATTCGTACATTAAGAATTGAAAAATACAATCAAATTGTAAACACGATAGACTTATTATCGCAGGAGTTGCACTCGGCAATTGGATGATTTGGATCTATCACTTTTACATTAATGAACATATGCAAGATAATAAGATTTTTTCAATTGAAGTGTGCAACCCTGATCACTCACTAATGTTTTTATGTTTAGCCCGTATTCTGAACCCAGGGAACGTTTGTAAGAATTAACTTATAGAAAATAAAAGTGAGGACAACTTGGTTAGAAGGTTAATTTCAAATATCATTATCATTTATTTTAAGATTAATCAATTAACATAAAAGAAAAAATGTCTTCCTCTAAAAAACATAATCCATCCTTTTTATAGAATTTTTCCAACACTTATAAATACCAAGATTAAAATTTTATGTGGTTGAGAAAATAAAAACAAAATATTGCAATAAGAAAACTTAAAATATTTTGTGAGAGTGAAAATAAAAACAATTAACTATTCTAATACTCCTTTCATCCTAACTTAATTTGTCCATTACTATTTACTTTAGAATATACTTGATCAAAATTATTTTCACATCAATTTATTTGAAAATAATAATAAATTAAAAAATAAAAGTTATTTACTTAAAAATTATATAAAAAATTTTACGAATCAAAATATGATATGACTATATTATTTTACTAAATTAAAAATAAAAATAAAAAATGAAATTTAATAATGTAAATAATAAATATGTAATTTAAACTAAGAAGGATAGAGTATCATGTAAGAAAAATAAAAAATGTGCCCCTTGTAATTGGAGGCCCTGTACAACTGCACCTCATGATCACCCTCATGGGCGGGCCTGCTATTAACATCACGTTTCTTTCCATGAAAAGACCAGAATATCCTCATGACCATTCCTTAAAGGTATGTTTGGTTGGAAGGGAGGAGAGGTGAAGGAATGGGCGGGAGGGAATGAGAAGGGAAGGGAAGGATTCCCTTCACCTTGCTTGGTTGGGAGGGGAAGAAATTATTATTTTATTCATATTTTACATTTTAAAACTTATTTGTTGGGTTAAGGAACCCGGAGGCCTAGGCAACTAGGCGAAAGAGTGTCGAACTAAATCGAAGAGTGCACAAATATGGGGTCAAGTAGACCAAGAGTAATATCGTGCTAATTAGAATATCATTCGGAACGTCCGTCCCCCTTCCCTTTAGAAGAGAAGGGGTTTATATGCAGATTACAGCTAGGATTCTGACCGTTGGTCCATAGTCCAACGGTCTGGGCCCACTAAGATTGGGTTGTTTATTGACGGCGTCCAACCACATCATTAACCCTATGACTGCTATACAAATGTAGGTTACAAGTAGGGTGGCTATAGCAACTCTGCCAGAGGCATGGCATGGGTCTAATCGTGGGTCCCTTGATCTTGACTTCAGTCAGCTCCCTTGTCCCGGGCTGGTCTGCCGTTGCCTAGGGCCGAGGCCGAGCGCATGACCTATCTTCAGAAATCCCTTGGCGGAAGGCCGGCCAGGGGTGGCCCGAGGATGGCTGACCCCGCCGGGGCCGGGCGCGTACCGCTGCTGAGGCGGTCTTCCCTGGTCCTTTGCTTTGGTCCCGCCAAGTGGGCCTTAGTGAAGTTGGGCTAAGCCGTCTTCCTGCCGGGCTGGATACCCCCATTCCCGGGTATCCATCATGAGTCCCTTACTTCCTCGGCCGAGCGTAGCGAAGCCGAGGGAAGTAATCCAAAAAGTTGGGATTTTGAATTTTGAATTTTGAAAATCTTGGCCATGTGTAGGAGTCCCCCACTGCCCAACTTGAGTGCTGATGAGGGTTGGGGAGTGTTCCAACTGGCAAGATTTACACGTTTCAACCTCGATTTCGGGGAAGCATGATTACGTTGCTTGGGAGACGCAACGTCTCTGTACTGTTTGTCAGCCGTTCGTGACTTTTCATTGAGTCGTGACTTTTCATTGAGTCGGGTCGGATCCCTTTAACGTATAAAAGCAAGAATTTTCCCAATCCTTTCCGCCTTTGTCACTTCTTCGCCTCACTTTCGCCGTCGATCTCATCCACTGTCTCTGCCTAATCGCCGTCGCCGTTGCAATCCAGCCCGAAGGTTAGTTCATTCTTCCCTTTTCTCATGACGTCTTCTGATTCTACTCCTTCCGTCCCCGCTGTCGACCCAGCGGCGACTTGTTTTGAGGAAATGTACCGACAAAATCCCTCCCTCCACCTCGACGGTCTGATGGGAGGAACTGACCATTCTAGGGTCCTGAGTACAGTGCCTCTCCATACGTTCATCACTATGGTGTCGTCGTCCCAGGCGCCGCCTCTGAAGAAGAAGAAATCGCAAGTTGTTCAGGGGAAGACCCGGAAATCCTTACCCGTTACCGCGTTGGAAACGGGCCAATTACAAGTACGGGTTGTCTTTTGTTAGATGTTGATTTTGATGAGGCTCTTCGCTTCGTGGGGGAGGGTTATGCCATGCACCGACCGCACACAACCAACCATGTCTTCTCCGTGACTAGTCCCGACGCCGAGGTCGGGGTGCATGTGGCGTCCATGCGTTACGGCCTTCGCTTCCCTCCTCATGATGTGATAGTCCAATTTCTGAACTTCTACTGTCTTTTTCCCGGCCAGCTCAGTCCCCATTCTTATTACTGCTTCTCAATTTTTTTGATCAAGTGCCACCTGAAGGGAGTCTCCTGGTCCTTGGATTTGTTCCGCTACATGTTCAAGGTTTCCAAAGTCGGGGCGCGTGAGGGAAATTCGTATGCTGTCGTTTCTTCCAAGGCCGAGTGTGGCATGGCTGTTATCCCTACGTCTCTGAAACTCTAGAAGGCCAAGTTCGTCTTCATCTCTGGCTTTCCCGGGGACCCGCACCCTTTTCAAGCCAGGTTTCCCGATTGTCATACTTTTATCCACCATCCTCGCCCCGAACCCACTCCAGAGCTTCTCGCACACGCGCAGAAACTCTTGGAAGACTGTCGGCCTAACCCGCCCCATGTGTACACGGTGTGTACGGAACAGAATCTTGCGGAGGTGGGGATTCTTATCTCCCTGGAACGTCAGTTCGAGTTGGCCAAGGCCGTGCAAGGGGGCCGTCCCAAGCATGGGCTCGAAGAGAGTACCTTGAGGCCGGAAGATTCGGAGTCGGAGGAAAAAGAAGAGGGAGAGGGCGAGGAGGTCGAGACCGATGAAGAGTCAAGACAGCCATCCTACTCCGAGGACGTCGCTGACGTGGAGTCGTCTGGAGGTCTGTCTTTCACTTTAGGAATTTCCTTTTCAGTGCCAAGTCTTCTAACTTTGTTTTGTCCTCCCAGGAGACATGCATCCGTTGGAGGTCATTCGTAAGGCCAAGCTGTTGGCTCAAAGTCATAGCCGAGAAGAGGAGGTTCAACAAGAACCACCCTCCGGGGCTACATCTGGAGCTGCCGCGGCCGTTCCGAATCGGGAGGTGGTTCCGACCCGGAACCAGAGAAAGAGGAAGCTCATTCAGGTCGAGGAGGAAGAGACTGTGTCCGAGCAGGATGTGATTCTGACTCGGAGTCTGTTGAGCAAATGCCCGGATGGTCATCAGGATGGGAAGCGCCCCCCTTCCCTCGATAGGACTGACGGGGATGTGCAGGCCGAGGCCGAGGTTGCATCCCTGTCCGCGGCGCTGAAAGATGAGGACGAGATTCTGTCATCCTTACAAGGGTTGGTGGATGGTTTCAACAAAAAGGTGAGCTTCCTGGTGCCTTCACTTTCTTCGTTTATATAGATAATTGACAATGTTTTTTCTTAGGTGTCAGCGAATTTGAGCTTGATCAGCAAACGCCGAGCCGGGGCTGAATTCTCCTCAGGCGTGGACTTCCTGGCCTCGGTGGAGACGGAACTATCCCGCCTAAGGAATTTGGCAGAAGCCGAGCATGAACAGGCCACCAAGCTCGAGATGCAGGCTGTGGCGAAGTCTGAAGAAGTGGTCTGGCTACAGGGCCTTTAGAAGGAGTCGGAGGAATCGGCTTCCCAACTGACGACTTCCATGGCCGAGCTCGAGGGGCGTCTGCGTCAGTCCGAGGGCCGAGTATCAGAGATAGATGTTTAATTGGCCGAGGCTGTCTCCGCGCAGCGGTCTCTGGAAGCTGAGCGAGATCGGGCCCTTGCTGAGAAGGAGCAGGCTGCTGCCGAGAAAGTGCGCGCCGTCTCCGACTTCCTTCAGTTCCCATCCTTCAAAGAGGCCTGTTTGGAAAAAATGGCTAACTACTACGAGAGCTGGCTTGGGACCGAGGCCGGCATAAAGAAGATTTGGGGGAGGGGACGAAGTGGTTCGAGTCCAGCGTTTATCATGGGATCCCGCTTGTCCTTCGGCGGACCAGAAGGGTAGATCCGTCCTTCCCTCCACCCGGGGTAGACATCCCAGATTTGCACGACCCCAGCTTGAATGCCGAGCTCGGGGATAATCCGGATTATTTCAGGACGCCCGATCGCCAGGACACGGGTGCGGACGGCGCCGGCGAGGAGCAACCCTCAGGCGTCCTTCCTTAATGTTTTCCTTTGTAATTTTTGAAGTTGTGTTTTTCATTGTAATGAACAAGATTTGTCTACTGTTTCTTTGCATACGTGACCAGTGAATAGATTTCCCTTCTGACATCATTTATTTGAATATATTTGAATCGCGCCTTTTGAGGAACTGACTCTTTGGCTTCCCCACGCAAACAGACCTAATCACTGGACCGTCGCACTGTTCCACCCACGTGTCACTGAATAGTTCCACCTCCAACCACTGCGATTGTTCATCCGACTTGTCTGTTCGTTCTTGGGCCTATAAATTGAACCCTCGCTTGTGTTGTGAGACCCATCTCTTCTCACATCCATTGTGCTAACGTTTCCATGGCTTCCAATAATTCCAGGGAAACTGTTCCCTCGTCTTCTCGACCGGAAAACGTCCGTCGTCCTCCTCCCTCTCCACCGGGGACGCCGAATCGCGTACATACTCATGGTGGTATCGTGCAAAGAAGTTGGAAAGGCGCATCGAACGTCTGCAAAGACTCGTGAATTACCTTCATGGGGTCCCTCAACGGCCTATGCCTTTAGTTGAGGTTGCTCAACCGGCTGCTGATTCCAACCCTGCGGGTGACACTCACCCGGAAGAGTCCGTCGGCTCTTCCTAGATATCCCTTCCATGCCCCTTCCCTGTATACCTGCCCATGGAGGTTTGCAGAACAGGGGGGCCATCCACGTCCTTCGGTGCCTGGGTTTTGTTCGTCTTGAAGTCCATGGGGCCTTAGGACGGGGTGCATCTACCTCCCAATGGATTTTAAGACCAGGGAAAAAGGAGGTCCATCGGGGGGTAGAGTACTTTAGGTCTTTTCCTTTCTCAGTTCCGTCGTGTAATAAATGTTGCCGGTGCCGCAACTGTAGCATGTAGGGCTTGTAGTAAATGTTGTAGCTTTCGAGAATACCTTTTTAATGGAGTTTGACTTTGAGTGCAATGAATGCCTTTGTAATAAATGCCTTGATTATACATATGATGTGTTGCCCCTTTCTTTATTTGCTCTTCTTGCACTATGGCGTTAAGCCCTGGTACTCCCTCTCTTGAACGAGGAACATCCTTTGTTCGGGCTACCCCACCGTGTTCTTTTCTCATGGCCGATTCCACTTTTCCCAGCTTCGCCACTGCTCCGACTGCTGTGGGGAAATGCGTCGATCCCGATTTCCCCTCTTTGAGTGAGGAGTCTGTTCAAGGTCCTTTCTGTCAAGAACCTGTTGCGGCAGAGGTTTCAAAGAGATCCGGCCGTTTGGTGCGCAAGGTGGGCACCAACGTGCGCGCCTATCTCGAAGGCTTTCGCCGTGCTCACCAGAAGAACACTATCAGCTCATACCTCAAAACGCAATTTGTGACCGACCATGACGCATCCTTCATAGACTCTTCATTTTCTGAAGAGATAGATGTGTACTTTGACCATTCGGGAAACAGCGCCTCACATTCTTGTGCTTAAATGATGATGTATTATCGCCTTAGGCGTATTTTATGTAATGAAATGCTTGTATGCTCTGTTTTCTTTTCTTTCTTTTCTTTTTTTTTGCACCCCAAAGGGTTTCTATTGCGCTCACACCCTCGGCAGGGCGGCGAAAGGTGTGTCCTCAGCAGGACTAAGGGTCGTGGAAGACATCCTAAGCAGGATTGCAAGTATTTCGTCCTAAGCAGGACCTTGCGCTGCCCTTCGTGCTACTAACAAGTTGTGCCCATTCGGGCCTTGTTCTTCGTCTCGTTCAGAGCGCCGATTCCCCGAGTAAAACTGTGCGGATGGGCTCCCCCCTAGAAGGGACACTCGACAGTGTGTATTGCCGAGTGGCGAGACGGTTAATTTTGTTTCTCGTGATTGTGTGTGGGAGCACAAAAGGGACTTTGTTCGCGTAAAGCGAAAAGGCCGCGTGAGGCCAAAATCGTGGCGTGAGAGCCCGATGTTGCTAAGCAGCGTTATAAATTGCGTAAAGCAAACCAAATTTCACGTGGAAGCGAGTATTTCATTGAGTAGAACTTATTGTTATTATTATTTCTCTCTTCTTGTAGCTACCGAGGCCGACTGGTTACGGTTCTCAGTGCATTACAGGTAGAGAGAAATAAGATTGTGCGTGTTCCAGTGTCTGCCGAGTTCGCGACCTTCAAGCGTGGAAAGCTTGTAGGTGCCCAGCCTAAGCACGGCTGTGACCTTGTATGGCCCTTCATAGCTCTTAGCGAACTTTCCCCCTTCTGTGGGCTGACTGGCTTCCCTCTTTCTGAGCACCAGGTCCCCCACTTGGAATTCCCTTGTTCTGACCTTGCGGTCGTAATACTCTTTGACCTGCCTTCGGTAATTTTTCGCTCTGAGGAAAGCTTTTTCCCGACATTCTTCAATGAAATGGAGGTCGGTCGTCATGGCCTCCTCGTTTTCTTGAGCTTCATAATTCTCTTCCCTCCATGTTGGGATGAACACCTCTGAGGGTGCCCTTGCCTCCACGCCATAACACATGGAGAACGGCGTTTCTCCCGTCGCCCTCCTCGGAGTGGTGCGGTATGCCCACAGTACGTTGGGGAGTTGATCCACCCATGCTCCTCTGTAGGACTCAAGCCTCTTCTTGATCCCGTCCATGATCGTCCGATTGGCATTCTCTACTTGGCCGTTCCCCTGAGGGTAAGCCACAGAGCTGTAAGTGTGTTTTATCTTCCAATCTTGCAGAAGTTCGTTGAAATCTCCAGCCTCGAACTGGGTCCCATTATCTATGTTGATCTGCCTCGGGACACCATATCGGCAGAGGATGTTGTTGTTCACAAACTTTGAACATTGTTCCGAGGTTCCTCCCACTAGGGGTTCGGCCTCGATCCACTTTTTGAAGTAATCGATGGCCACAATGATCCATTAGAAGTTGCCAGGTGCCCTCGGCATCAGGCCTATCAGGTCTATTCCCCAATGAGCGAAGGGGATTGACGAGCTGATGGGGTGATAACTTGTTCCCGGTCTTCCAGGGATGTTCTGAAAGATCTGGCACACTTTGCAACGTTTAGCACGCCTGGCACAGTCCTTCACCATGGTCGGCCAAAAGTATCCCTGCAGGAGTATGCGTCTAGCCATGGAGAAAGGACCTTGGTGTGCTGCGCATACTCCCTCATGGACTTCTTCCATGATCTGCCCTGCTCTGGCCTCGTCAACACATTTCAGCAGTGTGCCATTGTACGATCTCTTGTACAGTTGGCCATTTTCAATGACGTACGTCGGCGCCCTTCGTTTGATCGATCGGGCCATCGTCTCATCGCTGGGGAGAATTCCATCCTTTTTGTATCGGATCAATTCTGTGATCTAGCCGCTGACTTCCTTAGTGATAACAGAAATGAACTGCACATGAATGCTTGGAGACCCCAGGTCTTCAATGTGAGCCATCTTGGAGATGTGCTCGGGGCTATCGTTGCTTAGCTTGGAGAGGACGTCGGCCTCGGTACTCTCCACCCTCGGGATTTGCACCCGCTCGTATCCTTTGAGGATCTTGAGCAATTCTAGGGCTGCCTCCTTGTACAAGCGCATCCGCTCCTCCTTGGTGTCAAATTCTCCTTTGATCTGATTGACGACCAGGCGCGAATCGCACCTAATCCTGACGTACTCGGCTTTTAGGTTGAGGATGATCCTCAGGCCGCTCAGCAGTGCTTCATATTCTGCTTCGTTGTTGGACACTTTGAATTGGAATTTTATTGCGTGGTATGAGCGGAATCCTTCAGGTGATTGGATTACTACGCCCCCACCACAAGCCTTTGCAGCCGATGATCCATCAGTGGACAAAGTCCACCACTCGCCCTGTTCGGCCGTTGGCGTGGGATTGTTGTCCCGTGCCGTGTATTCCACCATGAAATCGACCAAGGCTTGGGCCTTGATCGCTGTCCTCGGCTTCATCTCTATCTGATATTGGCTCAGATAGACAGACCACTTGATGACCCTGTTAGAGGCTGTTGGATTCCTGATGATGATGCTTAGGGGCTGATGACTCCTCACCTCCACTTCATGGGCTTGAAAATAATGATTCAGCTTCTTGACCGTATTGACGACGGCCAGAACTGTCTTCTCTACTACCGAGTATCTGAGCTCGGCATCCCTCAAGGTTCTGCTGACATAATAGATGGGGCGTTGAGTGGCCCCTTCTTCTCGTAACAAGACGGAGCTTATGGCTCCAGGGCTGATGCCCAAATAGAGGTACAGCTTCTCGCCCTTGACCGGCTTCGCTAACACCTGCGGGGTTAGTAGATATTTCTTCAATTCTTCGAACGCCGTTTAGCATTCGGGTGTCCATTGGAATTTCGGCACCTTCTTTAGCGTGCCGAAGAAAGGAATGCTCTTCTCAGCAGATTTTGACAAAAATCGGCCGAGCGCGGCAATCTTTCCCGTCAGTCGCTGCACTTCCTTTATGGAGCGGGGGGCTCCATGTCCAGGATTGCCCTGACCTTCTCCGGGTTGGGCTCGATACCTCGTCGACTGACAAGATAGCCTAGGAATTTGCCACCTTCTACACCAAATGTACATCTTTTGGGGTTAAGACGTAAATTGAACCTGCGCATAATGGAAAAAACTTGGGAGAGGTCTTCCGCATGGTCGGAAGACTGCTTGCTCTTGACGATCATGTCGTCCACGTATGCCGCCATTGTCTTCCCCAAGACCGAGTGGAACACTCGGCTGACCATTCTTGTGTATGTGGCTCCGCTGTTTTTCAATCCGAATGCCATCACCAAATAGCAATACACCCCCTCCGGGGTGAGGAACGCCGTCTTCTTGGCATCTTCTTCGTGAATAAACACTTGGTGATACCCTCTGAATGCATCCATGAAAGACATTACCTCACACCTGGCCATTTCGTCGATCATCTGATCAATGTTGGGCAAAGGGAAGGGGTCCATAGGACAAGCTCGGTTCATGTCAGTGTAATCCACATACATCCCGAACGTCTGCCCCTTCGGTGCCAGCACGACATTGGCCAACCAGGTGGGGTATTTTATCTCTTTGACATGCCCTGCTGCTTGGAGCATGTCCACTTCCTTCTTCACAAAATCCCTCCGATCTTTGCTCAAATGTCGCCTTCTTTGCTTTACAGGCTCTGCATCCGCTCCCACCGCGAGGTGATGGGTGATTAGAGACTTGCTGACTCCAGGCATATCCTCGACACTCCACGCGAATACCACGAAGTTCTCCCTGAGCACCTGAATGATTTTTGAACGAAGCCCGGCACTGATGTTGGTACCGAGTTTGATCTTCCTCTCCTGCTGCTCCTCCATTATCACCACATCTTCTATTTCCTCGGCTGGTTCAGCTCGAGGACGTCCTTCTTCCTCCTTCAGCAGTGTTGTGGCAATTCTGTCCACCCTCAGATCCTGGGCATCCATCTTCTTCGTCTGCTTTTGGTAGCAGAGCCGGGCGAGCTTCTTCTTTTCTCTGCACACTCCCACTCCCGAATCAGTTGGGAATTTCATGCATAGGTACTTTACCGACGTCACGGAATCGAGGTCTTCTAGTGCAGGCCGGCCCAAAATCAAGTTGTGAGATCCCAGGAGTCGCACCACCATGAATTCGACTGGGATGGTCTTTTTGTGTTCTCCATCACTGAAGGTGACCATCACCTCGATCAGGCCCTCAGAATCGATGATGTCTCCTGTGAATCCAGAGAAGGGGTCCTTACTCTTTTCGGGAGCTCTTTCTTCAACCCCAGCTCTTCAAATGTCTTCACGTACATGATGTTAACCGAGCTCCCATTATCAACATAGGATCGGTGGATTATTACCTCATTGACTTCGCACTTGATGACCAGGGCGTCCCCGTGCGGGGATGAGATCTCAGGCAGGTCTTTGGGACCGTAAAGGAGGGGCTCTGTATTCACGACCTTGGACGGTCCGGGTGCACTGCAAACGTCCCCGACGTAGGCCGAGTGTACCCACTTCTTCCTCTGTTCGGCACTGTCTCCTCCGGTGTTGCCACCGTAGATCATCCGGCTTTCTTCAACCCTCTTCTGTCTAGGGTTAATTTATTCTTCCTCATCACTCGGAAGGCCTATCTCCTTCCTCTTCTTCTGCTGGGTTCCCGCTGGTTTCTTCCCTCGGTTATCCGCGGCTTTCTTTCCATCGTCCTTGCGCCAGGTGTTCTTTTTTTTGACGAACTGTCTCAGGTACCCGGCTTGGATCAAGGTCTCGATCTCCCTCTTGAGGACCTTACAAGCATCCGTGTAATGGCCGGCTGCTCTGTGAAATCTGCAATAAGGACTTTCACCGACAGTGCAAATCGGGGGAAACCTCGGGTCATATTTCACCAAGCCCTAATGCTCGGTGAAATCTAGGACAACGCTAACAGGATGTGTAAGAGGTGTAAGCTCATCTGGGAATAACAGCTTGGGACCTCTGGGGGATAGGGTTTCATGTCCTCGGCCCCTTCCTCATATACATCTTTTCCGAATGACCGTCGGTCACGCGGATCTCTACCCTTTCGGAAGCGATGTCCGGCTGGCAAATGCGGCCGCTCATCAATAGTGACCTTCCTCGGGGTAGGCTTTGCTGCCATCAGAATGGGTCCGAGTCTTCCTGCCTCCTCTTTCTTCTTGTTAGTCTCCAACTCTTCTGCTTCGGCTTCATCCTCTGCCATGGCCAGCGCGATGGAATACTCCCTTGGCTTCTCCAAAGCCAGGAGCTTGGAGAAGTCACCTGATCGTAGGACCAGATGAAAGGTGGACAACTTGGTTTTGTCATCCGCTCCGTAAACTCTGGTGGTTTCCAGCTTCCATCTCGGCAGGAATTCCCTCAACGGCTCATCCGGCCTCTGTCTGACTAACAGGAGGTGCGAGAAATGCAACTTCTTTTTCCTGTTGCCGGCGAAGTGTACTAGGAACCTTCGCGCCAAATCTTCCCAAGAATCAATCTTCCCCTCCGGCAGTTCATTGAACCACTCAGACGCCAGCCCGTCGAGAGTGGCGGGAAACGATCTTTAAAGGACCTCCTCAGAGAACGTCACGACGTTCATGATGGTCTGGTAACGGTTGAAGTGCTCCTGCAGGTCGGTAGTCCCGTCATACCTCGGCATTGGTGGCATCTGGAAGCTGTTCGGCAAAGGTGCCCTCAGAATCCTTTCCGAGAAAGGAGAACGGAGTCAGAACATAGGTTCGACCACATTCCCCGGCCCGCTTCTTTTCTCTAAGGTGAAAGTCGGTTTACACCCTAAGAGGGGGGTGAATTAGGGTGTTTGCAAATTTTTCGTAAAAAAACAAAAACTTATGCGCAAAGTAGTAGCGGAAAAAGAGCAAGAAAGATATAAAGGTTAAAAATACGACACAAGCGATTTTATACTGGTTCGGGAACTCCATACTCCAGTACCTCGAGGCTCCTCCTCAAGGATTTAACCTCCACTAACTTGTTTGGCTTCACTAAGAAGACTCAAACGAGGTTTGGCAAACAACCCTTGCCAATAAGCAAATGAGATTTTACTACGGCTATCTCAACCGTTTACAACCGAAGATTTTAAGGCTATCTTCAACCTTACAATGAGGATTTAGAGGCTATCCACACCTTTTACAAATAAATAAAAAGATTGGTGTTGCNAGAGCAAGAAAGATATAAAGGTTAAAAATACGACACAAGCGATTTTATACTGGTTCGGGAACTCCATACTCCAGTACCTCGAGGCTCCTCCTCAAGGATTTAACCTCCACTAACTTGTTTGGCTTCACTAAGAAGACTCAAACGAGGTTTGGCAAACAACCCTTGCCAATAAGCAAATGAGATTTTACTACGGCTATCTCAACCGTTTACAACCGAAGATTTTAAGGCTATCTTCAACCTTACAATGAGGATTTAGAGGCTATCCACACCTTTTACAAATAAATAAAAAGATTGGTGTTGCTTCTCTACCAAAATGATAACAAATATAAGTAGGGTAGGAGAAGAACAAAAGATTAAACCAACAACAACAAAAGCCTATAGGCAAGATATAAAATAATGAAGAACAAATGCCCTTTTGTGTGAGTGTTTAAAAAGATGAAAGCTTTTTTTTTTACTCAAAAGAGTAAGAAAAATAAGAACAACGCTTTAACAACACTCAAGAATATAGAAATAGGCTTTAGATTTAATTGAGAAGTTGTTATTATTAAAATGAGACTTAGAGGGGGTTTATATAAGAGTTTGGAATGTTAAAATATGAGTTTTTAACCTTAAATGCCGTTAGGAGGTGATTAGGGGTGATTTGAATTTAAATTGGCAATTTGCTACAGTGCTGTAACGGATTCGGTACCTTTCACGGTAAGGGGGTCCGTGTCATCCGGTACCTGGGTACCGTGACACGGTACGGCCTACCGTTTGGGGGTACCGTGTAGGCCAAAAGTTAGGTTCGCTACTAGCGGTACCTGGTTAGGACGGGGGTACCCAGCCGGTTCAGCCTACCGTACGGGACCCAGGTACCGTCTCACGGTAGGGGGGTACCGTGTACCTCCTGAGTGAAACGTACCCGGTACGTTCACTAGGCTACCGGCGGTACCCTGGTGCCGTGTATACGGTAGCCAGGTACCGTTAGGCCTGTGTAAAAATTCCAAAATTTGTTTTTCGTGTTCCGTTTTCAAAATAACCCCAACTAAGAATATATTTGTCATTTTAAAATTCAATTTTGAGTGAAAGGGAATAAGTAACTCATTAATAGAGGTTTTGGCGTTTGTTTTTCGTGCAAATGATGTTAGTAACATTTCAAAGACTTATTTGGCACATCAAAACGGTTACGGGGTACGGAATTCAAGGCCAACAATCTCCCCCTTTTGGATGTTGACAAATAAGGCTTTTGAATATAATAATCAAACGCACAAACATATCGTGAAAAGCATATATTGATTTTAAAACTCCCCCTAAGTTGATGCAAGTGATATTTTGATAAAAACTCCCCCTAAATTGATGCATATGAAAGCCTAATATTTCTCCCCCTTTTGGCAACATTCAAAAAGGCGGGGTACTAAAAACATGAATTTCAACACATAGGCATTCATTACGGCACCAATTAGTAAATCAAGCATAATCAAACCATAAGCAAACAAATCATAAGCATAATCATGAAAAAAGAGTTTGAGTCAAATAAGTGTATAATGTAGTGGATTTCCCTGAAATCATAAACATTGCTCGCCTACATTAGTGTATAATGTAGGCGAGCAATGTTCATGAAACATCTCCCTTTTGAGTTTCCGAAAAACTTATTTGGATGAAGAAGTGTTCATGAAACAACCCGAAGGATTCAAATCTGAAGGTCAAGAACATCTAGTCTGTAAGCTAAAGAAATCCATATACGGGTTGAAGCAGGCATCATGTCAATGGTACCTAAAGTTGCATCAAGTCTTGAAGTCAGAAGGTTTCATAAAGAATCAAGTGGATCAATGCACCTACCTCAAGATGAGTGCGAGCAACTTCACTATACTTGTCCTTTACGTAGATGACATTCTATTGGCAAGTAATAGTTTAGACATGTTGCATGAGTCCAAGCGCTTACTCTCGCATAATTTTGACATGAAAGATCTCGGAGAGGCTTCTTATGTTATTGGCATCGAAATACACTAAGATAGAGTCAATGGTATTTTGGGATTATCTCAAAAGGCCTACATTGAGCGAGTCCTTACACATTATAACATGCAACATTGCTCGCCTTCTGTGGCTCTAGTAGTTAAGGGAGATGTTTTCAGTTTATTTCAATGTCCGAAAACAGAGGTTGAAAAAGAACAGATGAGAATGATACCTTATGCGTCAGTAATAGGAAGCCTTATGTATGCACAAGTCTGTACTCGCCCAGATATCACTTACATTGCTGGAATGTTAGGTCGTTATCAGACCAATCCTGGTCTTGATCACTGGAAAGCAGCTAAGAAAGTTCTTCGATATCTACAAGGGATGAAAGACTATAAACTAACTTACAAAAGGAGTCATAATTTAGAAGTGGTTGGTTATTCTGATTCTGATTTTGCTAAGTGCAAAGATGACAAGAAATCCACTTCAGGGATGGCCCTCGACGATCTTTGTCCTCCTTGCCATCCACTTCACGAGCACCCCGGGCCGAAGACGAAGAAAATGCCAACACAGATGTCTCAGTTTGTGCTCCTCGGGTCAAACGCTCAAAGTCGGCGTCTAATGCTTCCTCGGCCTCTCTCTTGCACCGTCACTCTCAAATAGCGTCCATTTCAAAAAACCCGTTCAAAAAGTTCAAGAAATTTATCCTCAAGACCGTCGTGGCTCTGATGAAGAGAATTCAAGCAAGCCTCGATGACCTCTCGGATCGGATGAAGAAGATGGAAGACCGTGAGAATCGCCAAAAGAAAAATGAGGATCGCACTTCTAGACGTTGTCGCTAAGTGTTGAGCATTTGACAATATGATCAAACATTATGTATTTTTGCCTAAGTTTTTAAACTCGTTGTCATGTTTATGTTTCAAACTCTTATTTATGCACTTATTTGACTCAAACTCTTTTTTCATGATTATGCTTATGATTTGTTTGCTTATGGTTTGATTATGCTTGATTTACTAATTGGTGCCGTAATGAATGCCTATGTGTTGAAATTCATGTTTTTAGTACCCCGCCTTTTTGAATGTTGCCAAAAGGGGGAGAAATATTAGGCTTTCATATGCATCAATTTAGGGGGAGTTTTTATCAAAATATCACTTGCATCAACTTAGGGGGAGTTTTAAAATCAATATATGCTTTTCACGATATGTTTGTGCGTTTGATTATTATATTCAAAAGCCTTATTTGTCAACATCCAAAAGGGGGAGATTGTTGGCCTTGAATTCCGTACCCCGTAACCGTTTTGATGTGCCAAATAAGTCTTTGAAATGTTACTAACATCATTTGCACGAAAAACAAACGCCAAAACCTCTATTAATGAGTTACTTATTCCCTTTCACTCAAAATTGAATTTTAAAATGACAAATATATTCTTAGTTGGGGTTATTTTGAAAACGGAACACGAAAAACAAATTTTGGAATTTTTACACAGGCCTAACGGTACCTGGCTACCGTATACACGGCACCAGGGTACCGCCGGTAGCCTAGTGAACGTACCGGGTACGTTTCACTCAGGAGGTACACGGTACCCCCCTACCGTGAGACGGTACCTGGGTCCCGTACGGTAGGCTGAACCGGCTGGGTACCCCCGTCCTAACCAGGTACCGCTAGTAGCGAACCTAACTTTTGGCCTACACGGTACCCCCAAACGGTAGGCCGTACCGTGTCACGGTACCCAGGTACCGGATGACACGGACCCCCTTACCGTGAAAGGTACCGAATCCGTTACAGCACTGTAGCAAATTGCCAATTTAAATTCAAATCACCCCTAATCACCTCCTAACGGCATTTAAGGTTAAAAACTCATATTTTAACATTCCAAACTCTTATATAAACCCCCTCTAAGTCTCATTTTAATAATAACAACTTCTCAATTAAATCTAAAGCCTATTTCTATATTCTTGAGTGTTGTTAAAGCGTTGTTCTTATTTTTCTTACTCTTTTGAGTAAAAAAAAAAGCTTTCATCTTTTTAAACACTCACACAAAAGGGCATTTGTTCTTCATTATTTTATATCTTGCCTATAGGCTTTTGTTGTTGTTGGTTTAATCTTTTGTTCTTCTCCTACCCTACTTATATTTGTTATCATTTTGGTAGAGAAGCAACACCAATCTTTTTATTTATTTGTAAAAGGTGTGGATAGCCTCTAAATCCTCATTGTAAGGTTGAAGATAGCCTTAAAATCTTCGGTTGTAAACGGTTGAGATAGCCGTAGTAAAATCTCATTTGCTTATTGGCAAGGGTTGTTTGCCAAACCTCGTTTGAGTCTTCTTAGTGAAGCCAAACAAGTTAGTGGAGGTTAAATCCTTGAGGAGGAGCCTCGAGGTACTGGAGTA